GTCGTGTAAAATACCCTTAGCTTTCAAAATCAAAATGGAAGAGGATGCACTGAGTCTATAATAAAATCGATGCTAGAATCAATTTGTGCAGACAACTACACTTTCAAAACGAGACCAAAAAAAAAAATAATTAAAGGGTACAATGAGTCAGTGAACTGAGTGTAGGTCAATGGACGAAACCATATAGTACGTATTTAAAAGTATCATTCAAAGTTAAGTAAAGGTGAAGTTAAATCAATAAAGTTACAACGAAAAATCCTATAAACTGAATTTGTACCAATTTCGCATCGTTAATCAAGGGCCCACTAAAACAAGCATTTTCATTTTCCCTTCAACGTTTTATCATTTCCATTCGTGCTGTTAGTAAAGCTATCCTGAAGGGTGCTGCCTCTTAGGAATTTCAAAGGAAAGAGAGGGTTAACGAATATAGGCAGCAGGGATATTTTAAACCGCAATACAAGCCAATTCGAAATATCTTTTTAAGGACATTTAGACTTTGTGCAACGTAAAAAGATTGTGTTAGATATCATAACTTCGGCGTCGAACCTTATCAAAGCATGTTTGTTTTCTGACCAAAAACAAGGAAATGAATCATTCTCAAAGAAGTCAAGAATATCAAATTCTTATACGAGAGTGGCTAAGAATTGGAAGTTTAAGGAAAGCAGGTTAATCGAGAGTACTGTCAAACACATCATACTCGTGCTTTTTCATTCTCTAATTTTACAGACGAAAACCGGTTGATCTGCACAAGTGTCAAAACGTATGGTGTTACACTTGCAATTGTACCTCAAAGCGTCACGTGAGTGATGATGTCATGATCAAAAGTCGTCACATACCTTTCTGGTTTCTCTTTCGATCTTGAAGGAGACATTTAACTAAATCTCGCAACGATTGCCGAATTTAACTTCATAAGAACACCAGTACTTCATAATTCTAACTACTAAAAGGCCCTGAAAGGTATGTAGGCGATGAAATTTACTCATTGCAGTATTTTAATGTTACAAAATCGATCGCAACAGACTAACAGCCGGTAGTCGGCAAAAACATTCAGGGATGGATTGCAGCTCATAATCAGGAGGAATCTTTGTCCTTGTTTTGAAATGTAGACTTTCGTTTTTCTTTAGCCTTGACTGTGAATCAGAAAACTGAAAAACCTTTTTGATGAGATTCAAATATGTTTTGTTTATGAGCACCTAGCTCGTTCGTATTTATGTAAGTTGAAATTCGCAAGTGGTCATCTTATCCTCTATCGATAGAAATTTTGGGAACTGGCGACAGAGCAGAGATTTGCCGATTTACGCGAACACTGACAAGGCATTGCATCAAATTGATTAATGGTCAAACAATCGCTAGTGAAAAACTGCATTTTATCTCCGGGCAGGGTGATCTTGAAAGAGGAAGGGCCCTACAAAAATTATCTACAATTTCGAAGAGTCGAGTCAGTCTTCTTAAACTATTTAAGTTGGACAGTCCTCAGGCTCAAAAAATTGCCATTCATGAATGATTTCTGTTCATTGTCTTTGGGAGCCCAAATACATACATGCCTTGGTTTTCTGATGCTGTTCTGTAATGTCACGGTTGTTCAAGTAGTTCCGTTGTTATGACCGTATCTATATATGTATTTGTTTTCTAATTTGCTGAAACATTGTCCCAGCTGTAACTCATGTTGACAGAGTCGACCGCAAGATAATAATTTTTGTTTTCGTCGCGCGTCAATTGTAGAGTAAAAGTGATGGTGAAATCATGGCTTTTGGTTTTTCTTACTCTATCAACTGAATTCAAAGATGATGGTTTATTCATATATTATTGCTTTCATTAAATGCCGTTTAATATGCGTCATGTGCTTTTGATATCACGGACAGTTCAGACAATTCATCAGTTATCTTCCATACCTCATACCTAAGTTGAAAGTTATTGTTACATGCACGACGTGCGCCTTTCAAAAGAGTCAATCGTTTCATCAAATCTTCTGGAGTTGTGTAATAAATTCCACCAATCAGATTTAATTTGCCTGAAGATCGATGTTTTGGCATTTCCGATAACATGTTGAGGTTGTTGAATATTTGAACGGCTTTGATTGAATATTTCTTTTTTGGATTGAATCGCTTTGTCAACAAATCAATCAAACGTTTGTCAGTTCTGTCCTCATATACAATTTGTCTACCTTTGTGAGCTTCATTAACCATTTCATTCATAAATCTCGCCACGTTAATTATCAAACTCTTGTGTTGTCCGTTACCGATCTTATATGCATATCTTTTTAGTTGTTTGTATTTTCTGATGCCCTGTCCCTTTTTACCTATTACGTAATTCTTAGATGTCGTTAGAGCATCGAATGCCTTTCTATATTCATCTAAAACCTCCATTTCTAAATCTCCCAGGAACCTCGAAAAGCAAGTATATATTATAGTGATCTGTAAAGTATATACTTTTTATTTGCTGCTTGTGGTACCCAAAAATATAATTATTAATTGCACAATTCCTCGTTTTTTTCACATCTTGGACATATAAATTCTTTTTACAGTAAATGGTAAAACCGACCAATCACGACTGACCTACACCGCTTGAGTCTTACAGCCAATAACA